GAAGGGGCTACGCGGCCTGTGCGGATCGTTGTGGCGGGGTTGGGGGTGGATGCGCCTTTGGGCCCTGGGCCGAGATAGGTCCTCAGGGTCCTGCAGCCGAGGAGCGCCCTCTTTGACGTTATTGTTGCCGCCAAGACCGTATATTTATGTATTTCCTTGGCGCTTTCACTTGAGTTCGTCTTTTCAGGGCCCCCTGGGGGGTGTGATGGATCAGTGACGCCAAGAGGGGAAACCGAGGTTCAGGGAGGCGAAAGGGCCAGCTTCGGATGCTCCTGGGTGCATTTGTGTCTTCTGAGCAAGTTGGACCTTTACAGCAGTTGGGGAAACTGAGGCACGGGGAAACCGAAACTGCTGCCTGTTTGAGTCAGGGCAAGGCCAGGGAAGAGGTTTGTGCGGTAGGGATTGCTCAGGAGCTGGGACTCGGGAGTTATTGGTGCTGTCTGATGTGTAAAGCTCCTTTCTCCTCCGCGTTTCTTGGAAAGGGTCTTTGTGGCACACAGCAGGCCTCCCACAACGTGGGCCGGGGAACCAAGGAAACCCTGACCACCGCGTCCCCAGCTTGACTTCACATTGAGTCCCCCGCACCTGGCACAGATACACACGTATGGTTGGGTGAAAGGGACATCGTCTAGTCTCTAGTTCCTTGTTTCTCAATCTCAGCACTGTTGATGTGTGGGGTAGTCCTGGGCGCTGTAGGGTTCTGAGTGACAAACCTGGCCTCCTCCCACTCCAGGCTAGCGGTAACCCCTTCTTTGCAATTATGACAAAAAATGACTCCCAGATGTGACCAAGTGACATCTAGGAGATAGGATCCACCTCCACCCCCCCAACTTCTCCCCTGGGGGTATACCTCAGGGTGGAGCCCTTGCCTGGTGTGTGTGTGAGGCCCTGGGTTTTATCCCCAGTACCACACACAAAAACAGGAAGAGAACCCTTGAACCGTCTGACTTTGGAATTTCACAGAAATACGATTAATATCAATAAAATCAAGAGGACTAGCTGTCATGGAGCTGTGATCTTTTTTATTTAACAGTCAGAATGCTTAGGTTTTTTTGTTTTTGTTTTTGGTACAGGAGATCGAACTCAGGACCTTGTGCTTGTGAGGCAGGTGATGGAACCACTGAGCTAAATCTCTGGCCTTAGAATGTTTAATTTTAAGAAAAATTAAAAACCAAACATTGCTTTCTGTGACCATATTAGCATAAAGGACAGGATGTTTTAATGCCCAGTATAGTTAGGAAGGATGTACTTTCAGTTTTTTTTTTTTTTTTTTTTTTTTTTTTTTTTTTTGTCCCGGGGATTGAACTCTGGTCCTTGCGCTTGTGAGGTAGAAGGCAAAAACATTGAGCCAAATCCCCGGCTGAAGGGTGTGATCTCAGAATAAAGATCAGTTGATAATGTTGTATACATAAGTATTTGTGCATATGTACCTTGGAGTAGTCTGGATCCTTGGATGGGGTCCCTTTTTTTAGTCAACCTAAGGTTACTTTTGGGCGCAAGTCATGTCTGTTACTGGTACATCAAGGCTGGTGGCCCAGAGACATGCAAATCATGATGGTTGTCCTGAAAATAAATTTCAGTGGCTAATTATATATTCTTCATTGAGGAGGGAAAAAATTGGGGAACCTTTTATTTCCCAAGAATAAGTGGGAGTTAGAAGGTGGGTGGGAAGTTTCAGCTGTGGACAGCAGAGGTTTTTTGTTTGGTTTTTTTGTTTTGTTTGGTTTTGTTTTTAAAGAAGGCCCTGGTCTATGGGGACTGGGGATTTAGCTCAGTGGTTCTGCCACCTGCCTCCCAAGCACAAGGTCCTGAGTTCAATCCCTGGTACAAAAAAAAAGGTGGCCCTGGTCTGATTTTCATGTAGCTTTTACAAAATATATGTAGATTCCCCAAAATAACTAGATTTTTCTAAGCCAAACTGCCTAGCAGGTGTGAGCGTCTAAAGTTTACCTATTTAGAGATGTATTTATCCACAGCCTTTGTTCTGTTTATGGTCAGTTCTGCATCAAGCTTGTCGGCTGATTTTCTTGATTTTGTTGTTGTTCTTGTTTCAGGAAGATATCTCCCATGTGTCTTGCCATCACGTCAGCTCCTGCCTGAAAAACTCAGAGTGCCTTAAGTTGTATTCCCTTCATAAAATGAATCCTTTTCTAGTTTTATACCCTTTCATGGTGTTGAAGAGGGTGGTTTGGAGAAGGATGCTTCAGGGTCACATGGTAAAATAGATAATCTGGTGTTTTCTCTCATCTCTAAGTTTGCTCATTTGCGTTTTGTTTTTCCAGTTACACATTCATTGGCTTCCTGCTGTATTTCACACCCTGAGCTAGGTGCTGGAGGTGTGGTGCGTAACAAGTCACTGCTGTTAGAGAGTTGGCCTTCTCTTTGGAGGGAAGCAATCACATATAACTAGGACAGAATTTCTTTAGTCACCTCTCAGACTGTATAATTCTTTTTCGCAGGGGGAGTGCTGGCCTGGGCATCGCAGGATGTCTAGTAGTAATGCTGGCCACTACCAGCTAAACGTGAGCATCTCAGACCCATCAACCACCACTTGAGAATCGCCTTGAACGTACTTGGCTCTGTGTATATTTGCTGGCTTTTTTCCAAGACTTAGTAACTTATTCATTGATGTTTTTATTCACAGCCATGGATTGCAAAGACAGACCAACCTTCCCAGCAAAGAAGTTGGTACAAGGTAACGCTGGAGTGAAAGGGTTTTCTTGGGCATCACCCCTCTGGAGGGGAGAAAAGCAGTTCATTCCTCTTCAGGTCCCTTACTCGAAAATGTTAGGGACCAACATAGGGATTTCAGATTTTCTTTTATTTTGGAATATTTGTATATATGTGATGAGCTATCTTGAGAATAGGACCCAACTGTAAATACAAAATTTATTTATTTTATATATAGACTTAGCCTGAAGCTTATTATACACTTGTATATATGTGATGAGCTATCTTGAGAATAGGACCCAACTGTAAATACAAAATTTATTTATTTTATATATAGACTTAGCCTGAAGGTAATATTATACAATGTTTTACTACTTTATATTTTTTTATATTGCTCTGCTAAGGGTGGAACTGAGAGTCATGCATGTGCCAGCTATACTCTGTTCCTATACAATATTTTTAAAGGCTGCATGTTTGCTTAAAGAGTTTCAGATTTTGGAGCTTTTCATCTTAGGGTTGATCTACTTGTACTAAGAAGAAAAACTACCCCTTTCTTTCTTTCTCTCTCTCTCTCTCTCCCTCTCTCTCTCTCTCTCTCTCTCTCTCTTTTAAATGTAGTATTGGGGATTGAACCCAGGGCCTTTGCACTTAGCTTTGTCTCCAACTCTGTTTGTTTGTTTGTTTATTTGTTTGTTTTGAGACAGGGTCTCACTATGTAGTTGAGACTGACCTGGAACTCACTGTATAGCCCAGGCTGGTCTCGAACTCACAGAATCCTCCTGCCTCAGCCTCCGGAGTGCTGGGGTGACAGGCATGTGCCACCGTGCCCAGCTTGTTCCCAACTGTTTTTAATTAATTTTTTTTGTTTTGTTTTGTGTACCAGGGATTGAACTCAAGACCTTATGCTTGCGAGACTTGCGTAGTGCCACTGAGCTAAATCCCCAGCCAATTAGTTTTTTATTTTAAGGTAGTATCTCCCTGTGTTGCTCAGGCTGGGTTTAAACTTGTGATCCTCCTGCCTTCAAGAATAGACAGCGGAACTACTGAGCTAAATCCCTGGCCCTGGGAAACCCATTTTTGTCCAGTATTGTTCCCTGGGGCTTTTATCAGCAATCCAGAGGTCTTCACCTCTAGAGTAGGATGTCTATACCTCAGCTCGATGGATGTTTTGTGCCGTTTTTCTCCCTTCCAGGGTGCTGTACTTGATCCTGCAGGGAATTTAGCAGCATCCCTGGCCTCTTCCCACTAGAGGCGAGTCCTGACCCCGACAGCTATCTGCCATGGGGGGCAGCACTGCCCCAGTTGTCAACTCTTACTATACAGGAAAACTAATGTCCCCAAATCCACTTGAGTGGAACAGAGACTTCATCTATAGTCTGGATTAGAGGCTGGGTCTTTGAAAAACTGGCTTCATGTTGTAAAACTGGGTTATCTAGTTTGCCTCTGGCAGTCTGCCTCTCCCACAGTGTCTGCTAGCACTTTTGGTGTTGGTGGGAATCCTGTCGGGCAGGTATCCAGCTGGGGGAGAGACTTTAGGACAAAGCCATAGAGCCTGAGGGCATCCTTATTTTATAAATTCAAAGTGTAAATGGGAAGGTGATGACCTCCGCCTGGGAATTTGGTGAGACTCAACTCTCAGTATAAAATAAAAAAGGCTGGGTATGGAGCTCAGTGTAAAGGCCTTGAGCTCAATCTCTTGCCCCCTACCAAAAGAGAAAAGAGTCGCTTTTTTTGGTTTTGTTTTGTTCTTTTCTTGTGTGTTACATAACGAAATAGTAAGAGGTAATTTGGCATTTAAGTGAATGGAGGCTCCTTGAGTTCATTCATTTGAATTTCCTCACTGCCTAGAGGAGTGGACTTTTTTATTCCGGCCCCAAACTTGACAGGTGCTGGGAGGAAGGTGTTTGAGTGGTGAGAAAATTTGACAGTTGGAGCCAGGAAGAAAAATCTTTCCACATCTGGGCCGATGTATTTCCTTTTCAGAATCAGAAGATGCTAGCTTCAAATGGTATTTTAAACCCATTATAAATAAATCTAAGCAGCCAGTGTAGTGGCATACCCATAAACCCAGTAGTCTGGATGGCTGAGGCAGGAAGATCTCAAGTTAAGCTCAGTCTAGGTAACTAGCTAACTTAACAAAACGCTGTCTCAAAGTAAAAAAGAAAGGATGCAGATGTAGCTCAGCATGAAGGTCCCTAGGTTCAATCCCTAGCACCAAAAAAAAAAAAAAAAAAAAAAAAAAAAAAAATCAGTCAGTTAATATGGGATTTATTTGAACTGGATCTTGAATACATAAGAAAGTCTCCTTTGAAATTCTGCTGGTATCCCTGCTAAAACCTTGGTTTTGTGTGTTTTGTATTTGTTTTGTTTGTGAGTTGATTGACCATATCATTCGGGTTGGCCTTGAACTAACTATATAACCTAGGCTGGGCTTGAACTCACGGGGCAGTCCTGCATCAGCCTTTCAAGTGATGGTTTTGTTTTTTTTAACTAGGGTGTTAGAAAAGTACAGAATGAAAATAGCTGGGGATTGGACCCAGGATCTCATGCCTGCTAGATACTTGCTGTCACTGAGCTATATCCCAGCCCTGGTAGCCTTTAATTAGTTACTTAATTACTTTATTTACAGCTCTGGGGGTGAACCTGAGGCCTTATGCATGCTATGAAAGTGCTGTAACCACGCACCACAATATACCCTCCTTTCTTTCCGGGTGTTTGTTTGTTTTTTGTTTTTTGAGACAGGGTCTCACTGTAGTTGAGA